CGGCGGCCATTTTGGACCCGCCGGACAGCTGATCGGCGGGTCGCAAAGCGAAGGTCGGTAAGCGAGCAGCTTACCGACCTTCGCTCTGTGAATTACCGCCTATATGGGCATCGTTTTGCGATCGCATTTGCGATCGCAAAAATGGCCTCGTAGAGCGAATTCATCGCTCTACGAGGCGCCCGTTGTGCAAGGCACCACTGTACTGTTACATATTAATCCTATGGTAAGTAGTTTTTTAAAGTCAATGTTTTATTTTTATTTTTACTCTAAGTAGAAAGTTATCTAGCTGATTTGTGATCTCAAACTATATTAGAAGAACGTACTCTATATCTAATACCATGGATGGATTAGATAGCTCCTTGTCCTGTTCATCGTTATAAAACAAAATTTTTCTGCTGCTTACCACAACATACTGAAAAAAAGGGAAAGAAAAGAAATAATTAATGTATATATTTGCAAGGCAATATACAACACTATTCTACCTTCCCCCTCTTCCCCTTAGTACAGAGAGTTTATTCACGCAGAACAGCAAGCATGTGAGTAGACACACAGATCATCCATCACTCCTTTTCCTTCCATGCCTGGATTAGAAACTTCAGGCCTAATATAGACCGAAGCATAGAGTGCCATATCTTATCCAAACTTAGCAAACAATGGTTTGTTCATTAAAAACATGAGGAAGGAACTTGTCATTATGCAATTCTGAATTTTAGGAAAAAATATATATGAACCACTTTCTATTCAGTTTGATCAGTATCATTTAGTATCCCATATCCTCTGTGTAAGCCTCCAAGATTAAAAAAAATCCCTTCATTGGGATAGCAAAAAGTCTTATGTTAGAGCAATGTAGTCTACATGTTATCCAGAGCTGTAATGGAGAAAAGTAGCAGACTTTCAGTTCATCAAGTATTAAATTTCACTTTGGAAGGCCCCTAGATTTGCTGCAAATAAGACAAGCAATACAAAGCAGTTAACTCTGAATCTCCACGTATAAACCTTCAAATATTTGAAAAGGCCTAATATTGCTGCTGTAATTAATATAATTGATATACACCTTGATTATTGTAATCATTGTATAGTTTGGCTTATGTGTCAAAAGGAAATCAGAATTCACAGATACCTGCTTCTTCCATCCATGACGTTTTATATTTCCTTTGTTTGGTATTGACAGCCAGCCCTCCATTCTTGATTCTATGTTTTTCAAAAAAGGTAAAATATGTCACGCAACACTTTAAACACAGAACAACAGAAGAAAGAGAACTACATGCAGCCATTAGCAATTACCAAACAGAGTGATAAAGCACGAATCAAAAGCACCACTAAGCAAAAAACAAAACTAACAAACAAAAAGGATTGAAGCATTTTTCATGCTTTGTCACGAACTCATTTACCATGGCAATACAACTACTGCAGGATGGACAGCAATTTTTTTTAAATAAGGGTAATATCTAATACTGTTTCAACTGAAATGTTCTGAAACAGTCAGACAATGATTTGGTCTGAAAACTGTGTTGCAGAAAAACTATAGTACTAAGGTTCTTTGATATAAATGTTATAAAACAGGGTAGAGGGGATGAACTCTGCATGAAGATATGGTAACAGAAAGCCACAGTTCACAAGTAACAAAAAAAAGCAGGAGGACAAGCAAGTAGTACCCAATTGTCCCATTACTCACAGAAGATAAGAACAGAAGAGAAATAAATAAGGAATGCGGGAAGAATCAGCTGGATATAAAGAATAAGAGAGAAGCAGTTTGTTCAGTTTTCAAGACAGTTTTCTGAAACTATGACAAGATCCCTACATAGACACTCGAAGGATAATTATCTACATACTTATAGAAATAATTAATATTTACAATACTAAACTTCATTACACTTCCAGCTGGTCAGATTTTTGAATCTGACTTTGGGAGGGAACAAAGTCAACACATATATCCCCACTTAAGCTACTGCTTCAGTACAAAGCTGTTCAAAACACCACTGGTTCCAATCAGAATGAATCATAAAAATGTACCTATCTAGCCATCTCTTCTATGCCCTCCTTAAAAAATAGGAAGCAACAAGAGGGATTAAATCTCCAGCTTTAAAAACCATCAATCCATTTCATAATATGAAGATAATCAATCTGTTGGAGGAATGAGAAACCAGGACTTGTACATATGTTTCCCTTGCTGCACAAGTCAGCTTCTAAGATTGTAAGCCTAAAAATATCTTCCTGGGTATAAACACTATTCCAGTAGCTTGCTGGGACATACTACTGAGTAAACATGCCTAGAAATGCATTGTTAATCTTATTGTTATTGCTACTGTTAAAATGATTCTCTCCTAATTTTCAGTTCACAGGATAACTGTTTATTTATAGCAGGATCCAGAGCTGACAAACTTGCATGTATGTTAGCTCAATTAACATAGAGGAGTAAGCAACAGCTTTCCAATGGATGATAATTCCAAAAGAACAGATATAAATGTGTAAAACAATTGCCAAGATGAACACGTTTTTGACAATTATTTATTTTCAAAGATCAATTTATTTTAGAGTAATTGTAAATCAGGAGCTATGAAATGCAGAAAATTTTACTCCTGCCATTACAAAAAAATTAACAAAAAAAGCATTAGGAATATAGTCTTACATAAAGATTAGAACTTCAACTATATGTGAACATTAGTATACAATATGTACAACACACTGTACATATAGTAGTATGTAAATAAAATAAATATAAAGACCACAGAAAAATAAAAATGAAAAGATTTAAGGTACAGTGTTGTTTAAAAACAGAAGTATGCCTAAAGAACAAGCTGTAAAAACAGGAAACCTCTTACCTACAACGTTTCCATCGGTTTCATCTGGTTGAAGGCTGGCAACGCTAGTAGACTCCATGCCTTGTTGTAAGTCCAAAATTTTACTGCGCAGTTGTTCTATATCACTCTCCTTGCTATCCAGCTGCATCTGAAGCTCATTTCTATATGTAGATTCTTCCACAAGTTGCTACATTCAATATAAAATATTGGAAGACATTCTTCTGGTATTTATATAAATTTGATAATTACATGAGGCAGTAAAAATATTCATAATGCATAAAAACAAAATGCTAACTATTTTTAGACCTTCAAAAGAAAACTGGAAGAAAATATGTGTAACGGTACCCAAAGTATGACGTTATTCCTGCCTGTCAATCAGGGGATGGAGCAGGAGGGGCAGAGTCAGAATGACAGTTGGAACAGTGGGGAGAGACAGTTAGGAGTTGGAGATAGAGAGAGATAGGTTCAGGGAGAGTTAGGGACCAGAAGTTATTGAAACAGTGCTAGGGCATAGGAGTAACAAAAAGGGTTAAGAAAAGAAATTGAAAGAATAAAA